CCCCAAAACCCCAAAACCCCAAAACCCCATTAGGAAAGTAGCTTGTGAAGATGAGGATATTTCGAAATTCAATAATGAAATTAAAATTAGATAAATATCAATAATGAGTTTGAAGAATATCAAATAAATGACCAAATAAAAAAGAAAGATTGCCAACAAATATTATATTAAATCCTTTTATACCAATTAATTAACGAACTCATTCTCAGAGTCCTTATCAATTACTCCTCAACAGCATAGTTGCTAGCATGCTCTCTCCTCATGCTAGATGTTCAGACCCTCCTCATGATCTTTCTCCTCTGATTCTTCTGGCGAGTTGAATGTCCTTAGGCATGATGGTGACTCTCTTGGCGTGAATGGCACAAAGGTTGGTGTCCTCAAACAGTCCTACCATGTAAGCTTCAGCAGCTTCTTGCAGAGCCAATACAGCCTGGCTTTGGAATCTGAGATCGCTTTTGTACTCCTAGGCGATTTCTCTCACAAGTCTCTGGAATGGCAGCTTTCTGATCAAAAGCTCTGTTGACTTCTGGAATTTTCTGATTTCTCTGAGGGCGACGGTTCCTGGTCTGAATCTGTGTGGCTTCTTGACTCCGCCACTCTAGGCTACTTAGGCAGTCTTCCTTGCGGCCTTGTTAGCGAGTTGCTTTCTTGGAGCTTTAGCACCAGTGTTCTTTCTAGCAGTCTACTTGGTTCTTGCCATCTCTTGTTGGTTAGGTGTTGTTGTAAAATTTTTAAATTTAATTATAATTAATTGAGTCTGGCTGCCTTAAATAGGGCAGTCAGACCAATATTCAAGAAGAATTAAAGCGGTATTCTAAATATTAGAATTATTGATTAATTTAGTCTAATTAAACAGAGAGTTTTAATAAGAACTATTTTAGTAATTCGTAATTCATCAGAATATTAAAAGTTCGATTAATAGTGACTCTTTAAATTATTGATATTTTAATTTGATTTTTGTTTAATTATTAAATTAAGTTTAAACTTATATACTTATTTATAATATAAAAATCACACAATCTGTACCAATGCTTATAAAATATCATATTCTATTGCCGATCAAAATACTTTGACACCTTTAGCCCTATGCTTCTAGTTGCACATTCTTATATGCTTTTCAGCAGCCAGCTCGTTAAATTTTCTCTTGCAGTTAGGGCATTACTTCCTATCGTCATACTAGGCAGCTAGCTCAGTATCAGAGACACCACCTCCTCTAGCAGCTTTCATAGCTGATCTGAATTGCTCACTCTTTTGCCTCCATTTTGTATTTTTGGCTTTATCTGCACCAGTTCCTCCACCTTAATTGCCTTTCTTATTTTGCTTTTACTTTTAGAGGTTCTACACCTTCTCAATTATTTTGCTTTTCTTTGGAATTATAGGAGGCATTCTCAGAGGCTGTTCTTCCTCTTCTTACTCTGCAATGTCAAATCTAAGTCCTTTAGGTTTTATTTTCTTATTATCCCAATCACCATCTTCTTCTGCCTCATTCATATTCTTTTAATTATAATTAGGCTCTTGAGCATCAAACTAACTCTTCAAATTCTTCTTAATCCTGCTAGGCTACTCTTCATTATAGTCATTCTAAGTCTGATTCTTCACATTTTTAATTGGAGGAAGTCTAATCTTTGGCTTTTTATACTAGTTTTCATCATTGTCCTTCTCCCCCGATGCCTTCTACCTATTAAGTCTGCGCAACTTGTCTCTAGCACGATCAATCTTCTCATCGGATTGACCCTGATTTTCTTCTCCATGCTCTCTAATACTGATATATGCATTCTAGTCCATACTAGCACGCAACTAGCTTTTCCTCTAAGCCAGTTTCTCCAAAAGTTTTGATCCAAAGTTAAACTGCTCTCTCCTACTTTATCTTTGATTATTCCCAGCAGACTATGTGCCTAGACTAGAGGCTGAATTAGCATATTTAAGTTATCTATAAGGATCATTAGGATTCCATTAAGAGACATCAAAGGATTTCAGATGTTGAGGTACAAAGACTTTCCGATAGAAGTTATTATGGTAAGTTCCTGGGTTCTCATGATTCATTGTTGATTCATCATATACCACTTCACCTTCTTCATCTGATGGAGGGTATGGCCCTGGCTATTCTTTTATTTAGATTTTCTGCTTCAGGAGTTAAAGGTTGCTCTTGACTAGTTTCAAATTTAAAGGAGGTTTTTCAATTCGAAAGCCTTCTTCGTCATATTCATCATCTTAGCCATTCTCTGCGTAATAATTATTCATTTAAAAAAATCTAATTAATTAACTCTGATTGTATCTGCTTTCTATAATCTCTTATGGGGTTTTGGGGTTTTGGGGTTTTGGGG